TAGGTTATATGGTAATAACAATAAGCTTGTCGTCTGGAGGGTTAACAATCTAAGTATGCAGACTGAACATTAGAGAAAAAGGAGGGTCACAAGGAAAGCCAACATTTTGTCCCTAGCCTTCCAAGGTCAATTAAGACTCAGGATACATAAGAACTTGATCTGTAACATCATGTAACTCAGTTGTGTCCCAAATTTTCTGATCAAGGAGATCATGGGACCAGGGAGGAAAGTAATCGATAATGTAGAGTGTACCTAAGGAGAGTCACATGGAGAGAAAACATTCTCTCAGGCTTTCACAGAGAGCAAATTGGCCAAGCAATGGCCATGACTCATCCACATGGCTGACACTGACAAAGGATCTACAAACTAGATACAGGTTCTCAGGATAAATACTGAGTTGATTTGAGTGATCTTATCAGATCCAAAAGCTACAAGTCTTGCTACATAGTTCTTGCTTTATCTTTGTCTTAACCATCCAGTAGAAAAGTATAAAAATGAAATACAAGAAATAAAACCATGTTATTATGTTGAGTTGTATGGGACTGAGGTCAACAACTTCTGACATTGCCAGTCAAGTGGAAGATCCAATACTATTATTGACTACTAGACTATTTTGGAATATTTTGCTGAGTTCACACACCTATAATATTTAAATGATGGAATTAAACAAAAAAAGGAATATAGATGAATAACCATTTTGTATCTGTGTATTCAAAATAGCATAGATATATAAATACATTCTCTTAATTCAAGGAATAGAGGGATTTGTTCTAAAAATGTTTGTAGATAGGATATCATGACTGCATCTTGTACAACAAATAACCACTAGGAAGGCAGTATGAAATGCGATAATTATTGGAACTGTCCTACCAATTTGATTTGAAATTGTCTCATTGCTATCTATTTTACAATAAAATTATGGAAAAAATAAAAAATAACGTCCCTTCCCACCCTCTAAAAAACCCTCAAGAAAAAAAAGTCACAAGACTGTCCTGCTACAATGCTGTGTATCGTTAGATTACTAAATTTCTGTGTAAAAATATGTAATTGTTTATTCATTTTTTAAATTTTTTTCTTCATATTCTGTAGGGACTTAAAGTTTAACATATCAATACTTGATCGAAAATATCTGTTCCATGATATGTCTAAGATGTTTAATATTCTGGCAGATAGTTAGGTTAAACCCAACTGCATATGTTGTAAGGTAATAATAAGCTTCTCTTCTGGATGTTTAACAACCTAAGTATGCAGACTGAAAATCAGAGAAAAAGATGGGCTGTAAGATCAGCCCACATTTTGGTCCTAGCCTTTCAAGGTCAATGAAGACTCAGGACATAGGAGAACGTATACTGTCACATCCTGTAATTCAGTGGTGTCCCAAATTTTCTGATCAAGTAGATTATGGGGCCATAGAGGAATGTGATCCATGATATAGATTGTGCCTAAGGAGAGTCACATGGATAGAAAATATTCTATCAGGCTTTCACAGAGAGCAAATTGGTCAATCAATGGCTGTGATCATCCACATGGCTGACACTGATAAAGGATCTACAAAGTGTAGTACGGGGTTTCAGGATAAATCCTGAGGGACTTGATTGACCTCATCAGATACAAAAGTTACATTTCTTGTTATATAGGTCTTGCTTTATCTTGATCTTAACCATCTATCAGAAAGGTATAAAAACGAGATATAAGGGGTGAAACCATGTTGGTATGCTGGTTTGTAAAGGGCTCAGGTCAACAGCTTCTGCTATTACCAGTCCTGTGGATGACCCACTACTACTATGGACTATATTGGAATATTTTGCTGAATTCACACACCTTCAATATTTAAATGACAGTGGAATGCCCTTCTCTGACAAAACTAAACAAAAATGGGCTACAAATGAATGACCATATTGTATCTATATATTCAAAATAGTTAGGCTAGATATACAGCTACATTCTCTTAATTTAATGAATAAGAAGATTTGTTCTAATACTGTTTATGGATGGTATGTCATGTCTGCATCTTGTACCATGAGTAGCCACTGAGACAACAAGGTGCAATGCATTTATTATTGAAACTGTCCTACTGATAAGTTTTGAAACTGTCTCATTGCTCTTTGTTTCTCTATAAAATTATGGAAAAAAAATAAATAAATCGTTCTACTGACTTTTGGAAATTTGTATTATGTTTTGAGTGATACTGATGTTATCCACTCAAGTAAATATACTTCTCTTGCCTTAACTGACAGTTCTTGTGAAAACAACTCTGAAAATCTGGAGAGAAAAGAAGCAAGAGGGAAGACAAAAGAGGCATTTCTAATTTCTCACAATTTAAGTCACTGGTAGATTTTTATTTTTAGTCTACTTAAAAGAAAAAACACTAAATTAAACCTAACTGGAGAAAAGTTTTTATGTATATAAAGGAGACACTTCCCTCCACAATAATTATCAGGCAAACTCATGCATCGAGGAGCCCGACAGGACAGACACAGAAAGCATGCAGCAGTATACCGGGCCCCGTGTTCTGGGTTCTGGGAGCAGTAGATTCTCTTATTTGCCAGTGACCCAAGAATAAGAATAAAAACATTTATACCTCACATACATGCTGTTAGGATAGATATACAGCTGCTTTCTCTTAGTTCTTTCAGATTGGGTTTCCCCCCTATTTTTTTTTTCTATCTGTAGTTGATTCTTTACTTCAGATGCTATAAGTTCTAAGAATTATTTTCTTATTTCAGAAAATTCTGCTCTGAGTTCCTCTATAACTTTCTACTGTTGCTTATTTACTATCAATGCTATTAATTTATACATTTGAGCTGAGCTAGTGTCCTCTGCACTTGTTCTGGGTGTACACTGGGTTTCCTCCATATGTTTCTGCATTTGATTCTTTACTGTAGATGTTATTAATTCAGGGATTTTTTTTTCATTTCCAATCTGAGTTCCTCTATACCTTTCTGCAGCTGTTTCTTTATTTCAGAAGCCATTGGTTCATTGATTTCAGCTGTGTGATTCCAAATTTGTTCTGTGTTAGTGTCCTCTGTGCTTGTTATGGGTGGGCTTGGGGTCTGAAATTGCATTTTGTTCCTTCTCGTTGTCATTTTGTGTAACACTGACTTCTGATCTTTATTGTAGAGCTTTGGTGCAGTTATAACCTTAGCATCTACTGAAGTTCAGGTGCAGATCTACAAAGTTTGGATTTATCCAGTTGTGTCTGCCTTGGGTCTGGCTGCTGTGCTCAGCTCCTTCCTGCTGCTGCCCTTGGGGGTGAACCTGTTGTGCCCCTCTAGCAAGATGTTCTACTCCTGGACTAGCTGGGTGGTTCTGTCCCTTACACTCTCTGCAGGGATTGCAGCTGCAGGGTTTCACCTCAGACCTGTATGCTGAGTCTGGAGAGGACAAGGTAGAGTAGCGGGGATAGGAAGCTCTCCCACACACTCACTGGGCCTGAGCTAGGACTGGATCTGCGGGTTCCTGGAACACAGCAGAAATTCCTACTTGGAGGGCAGGATGGGGGAGGTACTGCAGAGTGGTGGGGGCATCCCAAGGGGGTGGAAGAGGGTCTCAGGCACACTGCGCCTGGGCTGAGACCGGCAGGTCCCGCTGGCACAGGGTAGCCAGAAGCTCTCCCACATACTCACTGGGCCTGGGCTAGGACTGGATCTGGGGGTTTCCAGAAGGCTCTTAGTTCAATAAGAAGGAAGAAAGGTTTGTACTAATATTCTTTAGATAAGATATCATGTCTACATCTTGGCCTCTGAATAACTACTATAAAGACAATATGCAGTGTATTAATTATTATAACTGTCTTACTAACCTGTTTTGAAACTGTTTCATTGCTATTTTATCATTTTTTCTCATTAAAATGAATAAAACTATTTTAAAAATTTAGCAGTTAGTTAGTATTATTAATCTGATATCCCCACCTTCAGCATTGGGTTTAGTGCTCAAAATTAAGCTCACAACAGTTTTTGTTCTTTCTCAATCACTTGTGATGGATTCCTGCCTCTTTTGTCAAAGGATATACACTAAAGGTTTGGGGTTTCTGATTTGTCATAGGTTTGGGGAAGTGTGGAAGGGGAGAAACATCAGAATCACATACTTGTTGGCATCCAGTAAACTCTTGGTGTGTGCATGTCAGCAGGAGGCAACTGTCATGTTGGGTCATTGTTACGATTCAGATCTAAACGTCCATCCCATTCTCATCTGTATGGAAGGTGTTTGGATCATAAGGGCTCTGGACTTTATAAGTGGATTCCTGCATGGATGAGCTCCATAGCTGAATGTGCTGCCAGGAAGTGGCCCTACTTGGATGTGGGCTGGTGAGGGCAAGACCAGGAAGGATACGGCCCTCTCCCCGGCTCCTCCTGCTGTCATTGGTTCCTGGCTGTCATGGATTAAGCAACTTTTTCTCCATCATGTTCCTCTGCCATCCTTTTACTCTCTTGGAACCACAGCTGACAGTGAACTGAAGCTATGTGCCAAAATAAACTCCTTTAAAGTGTGGGGGTCAGGCATTGTGCGAAGCAATGAGGAAGTGACTAAAACAGTCATTTTTGATACTAACATATGAACACTTTTCTAAAATGCACTAACACTATGAGGGGTACATCTTGAGAATTTAAACTCATGTTCCAGGAAATTGTCAGCAAAGGGTCATGTTAATAATTACTTAAAGCAGGATTTGAAAATCAGTGGGCCACAGGCCAAGGCCAACCTGCTGTGTTTTGTTTGAACACTACAGTGCTTTGCTTGGTATTTGCTTTTAATTGATTTTTGAGGTCATCGAGAAAGGGCAGAAGCTCTTGCTTCCATTTTTCCCCAGAAATCCTTTTTGTCCTCAGGTTACTGCCTCCTTTTAGGTGGCTACATCACCTGCCTGATCCCAAGGTCATCCAATCTGTAGCACTGCACTGAAGAACTCATTTCAACAGCAGAAGAAAATTACAATTTGAAAGAAGAGTCAGACCGCTTACCGTTCTGTAAATGTTTGTCTCTAATGCTTCTTTTCATAGGAGGTGCTAAAAGAGGAGACTGGAAGACTAAATGAATTCTTTCAAGATATAAATACTTGTCATCTTCCACTGAACCCTGCACTACGTATAAAAGGAGTTGCCTGTGATGTAAGTCTGCTTACTCAGTCCATCAGTCAAGTATTTCTGCTTTGCACTGTTTGGTTCACTGTACATGTCTGAAGTGGCTTAAGCTTATAAGTTGGCATTGCAATTACATTAAGACAAAAGTAGTTGATTCTCATCCAAACTATGTTTTCTATTTGATTAACAATATCCAATTGGGATCACATTAGTCTCACTGTGTGATGCATTGGTTTGGAAAAAAGTATTCATCAGTTCATTAGAAAAAGAAATAATACATTTCCCATCACACTGATTTTTTTTTTTTTTACTTATTCAAAATGATTGGTTTGGTGACCCCCTTCATAGAGCATTTTCTATTTTCCACTGAGCCAAAAAGAGATGGACCAGGTGGGAAAGTTGATAATAATTTCATGCTTTATTTAGATCAAGTGTATAACAATGTCTCTACACTTGTAGCATCATTAGCTACATCATCTTCGTTTTGATTTGATTTGAAATTTATTGATACTCCCACGTCCGTGTGTCGGATAATTTATTTTGTGACTTGACTCATGCATGGTAGGTCCTCCTGATTGGTCAGGCACAACTTCTTGAGCCTTCTCTTCCTCACCTGCTGTCACATGGTCCCTTCTCGTTCTCCATTCTTTGACTTAGACTCATTCTTTTTTCTTTGATCCTATTAAGCTCTGTTATCTTCTTTCTCAAACCCGTTCAAGTAGGGAGACACTAATAGGGAAAATGATTGATTTGTGAGATTTAATAGTGAAGAGGTTAAGCTATCATGCATTCACCCCCCAAAAAATAATACTTAAGTGAAATTACAAGATAGTCAGAAGAACAAACAATAATTAGAGGAAAATTAGATTATCAGTCTTATAAATTAAAAAGTTTTGCTAAAAATGTGATACCATTATTCTGACATCTTTTTTGCTAACAAGATGCTCTAAAAAAATTCCTGATATGATTTATAAGCATATTTTTAAATAACAAAATAAAAATTAGGACATTAAATTCCATAAGTGAGCTATACCTAGCTAGGCTAAAATCCAAATCAGCACTAATTTTGAGTACTAGGATAGAAGCCAGTGCCTCATACATGCTAGGCAAATGTTCTAGTATTGAGCTACCTTTGAGTCCAAGCTATCACTGATTCTTTCAAAGTTATATACTGTTTTAACCATTCATAGTCTTCACCAACTACGACTAGAGACAGAAAATCAACATTTCAAAGATGTAGTGTCTTACTGCAGAAGAATTAGTTCACTGAATCCATTTGGGCTTTATTTATTTTGTTCTCTTGATTTTTTTGAGGATTTTTTTTAAGGAATAGAGTGATTTTTTTCAATTAAAATTGCATTTTAGTATTGCCCTGTATGCGCCCGGGGGTTGGATGCTGGTACCATGAGGACATCCTTGGGGGCACCAGGGGAGCTGCCAGGACCTCAGCCTACTGCTGAGACTGTATAAAAGGAGCCTGTAGGTAAACAATGCACAGGACGACATGGCCAGGTGGCAGCATCCTGTATGTGGTTCATTTCAGTCTATCCTCCGTTTTGCTTGTACAAAGACATGAGAAACCCCATCATTTCAACAAATGTGGCAAAGTTGCCAGTTTCCACAGAAAATTTACTATCAAATTATCCACACGGGGAAAGCCTTCAGAGTATAATGCATATTCAATACCTAGAGTACACATCTTATTCAACACCTGAGCCACTCTAGGGGAAAAGCATATAAATGTCAGTAGTTTGGGGGAAAAAAAAAATTTCAATCAGAATGCTTAACTTGTTCACTATGAGCAAATTCATACCAGAGAAAGATCTTTTGAACGTAGTGTGGCAAGACCTTCTATCAGAGTAAATGTCTTAACCCATGTCAGAGATTTCACACAGGCCGAAAGCTCTATAAATGGAATAAGCTTTGAAACTGCACTCAAAATTCACCTCATTTTACCCTGGAGCATTCACACTGCCAGAAAACCTGATAAATGCAGAATTTTGGCTAGCATGCCAGTCTCAATGTACATCAGAGAACCCATTATGGGGAGACCCTTATCCATGCAAAGATGTAGGAAAACCACTAAAATTACGGTAGCCATTCCAGCTCACAGCTTATTTTAGACTAGAGAGTTCACACCAGAGAGAAATCCTCCAAGAACAGCCAGTGTGGAAGAGGCTTTAATTTGAGTTTCTGCACATTAAATCCTCTACCCTGTCAGAATTGCTCAAGCCTGGCTCAATCCATTCCTAAATTATGCCTCACAAAATTAGAGAGCAAAGGTCTTAGCTTTCAGTTAAGTTTTCTTTATAGGAAGAATTCTCAACTTCGTTTCCTTGGAAACCATTGAAAACAGTTTATCATTCCTTGGTTCCTTTCAAGTCTCTAAGTGGTAGACCAGGTGCAATAGTTGAGAGTAACTTAATACAATCCTTCTTGGCCATGGAAAAACCAGGGACCAGACATTGCATTTCTTTTTTCAACAGTTTTATGTCTATGGGAACAATCCATGCTTCTCAAGGACAGAAGGCATTTCTTTGTTTTCTTGTTTCAGTTTTTAATATTCTAGTTTTTCTTCCTCACTATTTACATAAACTCATTTTGCAAGACTGTCTCACTTCTTCCTACCTTTGGGCTCTGGTCACTTGTCAACATCTACTCTTATTTGCTTTTCCCACCTCAAAATTGTTTCTTCTCCCTATTTGCTGATTCAAATTCTTTATAATCTTCAAGATCAAGTTCACCTCTGCAAGACTTTTCTCTTCAAATGCTTCTTCCTCTATCTTTGATAAACACCCTAGTGAATTGTTTTCAACATAATACACATGTAAATATTTTTGTACCATTTTGTGCGTTTCATGAAGGTAAATGTAGTAGGGTTTTTTCTATTAGCATATAGATAGTGGTTTACACATCTTAGTTGAATATATAATATTGTTGATATGGCTCTCAAAAAATACATTTCAAGTGAAAGACAAGAAATGAAACACTGAAGGCAGAGCAGTTCTGAATGATAGGATGTACAGAGTTTGAAAAGCACTAATCTTGATTCATTTCTTCTCTACAATAGGATTTCTTAATTCTATACAATGTCAATATCATACATTACCTGATTAACTGATTTCTACTGCAGAAATTCGTGCTCCACAAGCAGTCTTACCCATGAAACTATAAAAGTCAGTTTGACTCAGTAAGCAAGGGTTTGTATTTGATTAATGATTAGATTAGCTTTCTATTGACAAGTAAGTTAAAAAATATCTTTTTTGTCCTCAGTTTATACCAATTCCACGCATCTCAGAGATAGTATTGAAAATGACTTTTTCTTGGTGCCAGAGATTGAACTCAGGACCTTGTACTTGCCAGGCAGGTGCTTATGCTGCTGAACTATCTTCCAGGCCCTAAACTGATCTTTCAACATGTATTGTTGTCATATTTTACTAAATTGATAACTTGAAAGCATCAAATTCCTTTCTTTTCTTTAACATTAATTTAACTCCTTACTGTCCATATGAACTCTGCAGAAACCCTAACACATACAGCTTTCCAGCACTCAGATAGTTGCAGGATAGTAAACGTCAGGAAAAGTAGCCAATGCCATCAAATTGTGAAGATCCAAATACAAAATGTAATTGAAATAAGACAAAGAAATAGATATTGTATGTTTATTCCTAAAGACACTTTTTAGTAAGCAAAAAAGGAAGAAGAAATTCATTAATTTTTCAGATTACCTGCTTAGTGTCATACAGGAAAAAATGTATTTGTATCCATTAGCCCCTGTGTTTGTTACCAAAATATATGAGGTAGGAGTTGTTATCTCTGTTTTACAGTGAGAAATTTGCATGCTAAGTTACTTCCCTGCGGTCTTATGGCTGATAAGTTAGAGAGTCCACATTTGAATTCAGGTCTTTTTTCTTAAAAAAAAAAAAAAAAAAAAAAATTGTATCAGTAGTTCCTACAAGTGAGCTGTAGGGCAGCAATAATGGAAAGGAAATAACATTTTTAACTTTATTAACCAACTAGCATAAAATTAATGCCTACACATTGCTTATCTTATTTAGACCTTAAACTTAGCACTAGTGCTTATTGAGGAAAATAATACAGTTAAAGACTTGCAACCCAATGCCTAGCTATGATAAATTATCCACAATAAGACATTGATACTCAGTAAAAATACATAGAATGGAACAACAATAATTAAAAACAGGCATTGCAATGTAGTACTGAAAGGGCCAAACTAATAACCTGGCTGGTTCCTGAGTAACTTATAGGCAGGTAGCTCATACAGTGTGGATACACTGCACTAAAGAATTATTCATGTACTGAGGAAGATGTGTGGGGTCATGCAAAATCACATCACACTATGCAGAGTGTGACTTTGCATGACCCCACACATCTTCCTCAGTACATGAATAATTAAACGTTATGAATTATTTATTTCTGGAAGTTTTTATTTAATAGTTTTTAATCACAATCAACTGAAGGTCACTGAAACTGCAGAAATAAACTAATGGAGAAAAATAGGCTGCTGTAAAGGCTTTGACTCATATGCTGAAATTTGTTTGTCTGCATTTAATAAACATGGTTCATTGTTCCAAAGTATTCATATGTTTGTTTACATAAATTCTGAAAAGAACCATGATTTCACAAAAGGTACTCTTTTTGCTTCATTTTATTCACCATTTTTGTCTTCTCTTTCTACAGGAATGCTCCTATTTCACATCCAATGCCTTGCCATTGAAGATTACCTTCATCAATGCTAATCCTATGGGCACAAACATCAGCATTATTTTTAAGGTACAGTAGCTCTCATAAAACATCAAGTTGATTCCATAAGGAGAAGTATTGATTTATTAACAAAAGGAAACGATTGCAGCTATTTTCTTCTGGAATGGCACAGAGATTTTCCAGTTGTTCCAGATTTTGCCTTTTTATAGAATTATAGTGCATGCCAGACTATAAATCAAACATTATTGGCTCAAAGCCAGGAAATCTGTGATACAAAACTTAACAATATGTTTTCACAAATCAAAATATATGATAACTTTTGATTGTCACCGAAAGTAGAATGTGGCTTAAAACTCCAGAAGTAGAATTTTCCTTTGGTCCAAATACTGAATTAGGATTAAAATTAGCTGAAATTTAAATGACATAAGTTAATTTAACATCAATTTTTTAATCTACAAGTGCTTGCTTATTTTAGTTAATTGGATGTTTTCCCTTGCAAATAAAAAATAAACAGAACCAGTTCAGTCTTCATCATGAATCCATGAAAAATGCCTATGAGAATACAGTGACATTATATATTATAGACATAAAAGAAACAGGAATTATTAAAAGAACTGTAATAAAATTAAGAAGTTGCCAATCATCTCTTTATTTTCTCAATTATTTAATAAGATCTCAAAGTGAATCTCTGTAAACTTCGATTCTATTTTTGAGGATGAGGATTAATATATCCACTTTTACTTTGGTGTAACCAAAAGCCTTGCCTTATGCTTTACTACTATATTTCGTGTGTGTGTGTGTGTGTGTGTGTGTGTGTGTGTGTGTGTGTGTGTATTTAGTACAGGGTCTACAGGGTCTATAGGGTCTCACTGCTAGATCGGACTTGTAGTGATCCACCTGTGTTCAGCCTCCCAAGAGCTGGGATTAGAGGTGCGTGCCACCACGCTAGTCTCAATCACCACCATCTCAGCTCACCCAGAGGGCGGGGCCGGCAAGGCAGGCCGGGGGATAGAACTCCAGGCCCCTGCACCAGCTTGCAGGACTTCAATCAGCTGAGCTGTTTGGCTGGCCCCTTATTACTATATTTCATGAAGGGAGAAAAAAAAAAACCACAAAATCTTACCTAGGCAGAGTTTTTCATGCTTCATTTATGAAATGTTTTTAAAACCAAACTGCTTATTTGTTTAAAAGTATAGAACAATCCTTCTTGCTTGGAATATTGCATTTTTTCCATCACCTCTGGTAGCTAAAGTACTTCTTTATCTTTTCTTATTTTTATCAAAGACAGTTTTCTCTGAAAACTGCCTCCAAAACAGGAGAAATCACTGACTCACAGTGTCTGCTGAGTCATATGTATGCTATATATATACTTCTAGTGAAGAACTTCTGGTGTTCTAACTGCATATCAGTGGATAAGTTGTTATCACACCAGATAATCTTCACATAGGAAGAGATCCTTGTTGGTTGAGGACATCTGTTCAGCTTCTCTTCTCTCTCCTTTTGGTCTAAGATATTTTATATGGATGCTATTGAAAGACTACCAGGAACAACACTGCAAGTAGTGCTTCTAATTCCAGGGTTGCAAGTTCTGCCATTACTTAAGAGGAAGTTTTTATTTTCTTTGATTGTCTGTTTGAAACATAAGGTATTCTTAGTTCTATTACAAGTGAAACCATCCTAAGTCAGGCTGGAAATTTACCCAAGAAATGACATATCATATTTGAATGGTTTGAATGGAATTCAAGAAGAAACCAGAGTTTATGATTTTGTTTTGAACAGGCTGGAGACGATCTTCGCCAAGATATGCTTGTTCTACAGATTATCCAAGTAATAGACAACATTTGGCTACAGGAGGGCCTCAATATGCAAATGGTCATTTACAGATGTCTATCTACGGGGAAAAACCAAGGTCAGTATTGATTTTTAAATGTATTTTTAATATTATTATTATTATTATTAATGTATTTGGTACAGGGTCTAGCTACGCACCTCAGACTCAGAGTGATCCTCCCATTTTCAGCCTCCCCAGCACTGAGATTATAAGCATGCACCATTGCACCCGGACTCAGTCGCTGCCTCAGCATGCCCATGGGGAGGCTGGCACCAGGGACCGAAAACCGGTCTGCTGCTCTTGCCTAAGCAGCACTTAGATTGCTGAACTATCTCACCAGCCCTGGTCAGTATAGATTTAAAAGTGAATTGACTTGTGTTACTTATCCCGCACATTCACTGGTAAACTTCCTACTGTGTGAATTTCATAGTATAAATTCAAAAGTCCAAAACACTACACCAATTTTTTTCTTCAAAAAAAAAATTCCAAACAGAGAAGGAAGTAAATGTATATAAATCTTAAGCTTTTAGATATTAAATAGGGCATTCGCAATCCAAACATTAACTGTATTGTTCTTTCATGTGTGTTCCTAAGTAGTTACATTAATCACTGTTTTGTTCTCATTTTTGAAAATAATATAGATGCTTCTCAATTTACAGTGGGTTACATCTCGATAAGCCCATCACCAGTTGAAAATATGAGTCAAAATGCATTTATCTAACCGACCAAACATGGAAGCACAGCAGCAGAGTACAGTGACTAGGAGCATCGAACACCTTTATGATCCTGTGGTTCACACGAGAACACCACCTGTAATATTGTTAGCCAAGGAAGAGATCAGACTGTAACATTCCAAGTGCACTTTCTGGGACTACCTATGGCTTTCGTGTCATTGCGTATTTGAAAACTCTAAGTCAAACCGTTGCTAAGTTGGGAACCACCTGTAATGGAAATGCTCAACCACTTAAAATATACAGTTGTTGGCTAGTAACAGAAATTTTACATATTCTCAAATGTGTCAAATGTTATGAAAATTCTAAACGCTTTGTAGACCTGCCTTTAATTTCTAGAAGACTGCTGAGTAGGTATACTGCAGGAAAAGATGTCCACACTCTGCCCTTTCTGGGTTCTTACTGGTAGACTCAGTGCCCCCGCTCATTGTGAGTTGAAAAGTTAGGTGCAATCTTGAAGCACCTCCCAGCTAGTTCAAATTGCAACTTGGTATGTCACAATAACTCCTCTGTAAAATGCCATCTGATTATTTTTGTTCTGATAGTCAGGCTTTTAATCCCATGCCAAGTGTCTCACGTGTAGGCCCTTTCTAAAGCTCCCCATGAAAATGTGTTTTATTATTGCTACCAGGCACTTCTTACTCAATGTCTTCTGCCTTTCTTTTTCTCTTCCACAATCCTGATTCTCTCATAGTCTAATTTGCTGAAAAAGTAAGAATAAAGTGCAATGAGCCAGGCTGAACTTGACTTAACGTAGGTTACCTTTTCCTCCAAAACTGAATAAATCCCTGATCCCAACCTTTCAATTCCATCCACTTCTGTGTATAATCACAGAGTGTAACTCAGTTAAAAATTTTTATTTAATAAAAGAACTTAATGAAAATAACTGTAGGTTTATCCAAAGCTGCAGATTTTATAAGAGAATTTATTTTTCTCTACCAAAAACCTTCTATGGTATGTAAGATTTTAGAGGGCCTTATTACACTGACAGAGCACTTCAGTGTAAAGATCATTAAATGGCATTTCTAAAAGACTAGGGTTGCATTTTTAATCATGTTCCAAGACTTACTAGATATATACTGTTTAAAAAAAAAGTTTCAACTTTTTAAAACTCAACCATCTCTGTATTCATAGCTCTGCTTGTATCTCTGGCTCCTCTGGGTATTTAAATTGGCAACTCTTATAATTGTACTGGCATAAAAATCAGGCACTCTAGATTTTAATTTATTTCAATGATTTTATTTATCACAATATGCATTGAGGGTTGTTTGGGGACTTCCATCCTAGGAGAGTTTTAAGTATTTATGTTGAGTTGTTTTTCTGTGTAGACTAAAAACCAGAATGATTAAGAATATTAAATGTTAATAATTTTAGGAGTACAGTAAAAAAAAGGTTTGATAGATGCAGATCCATTGTGAAAAAGATCTTACTTATGTTCAACCAATATAGGCTACCTTATAAAAATAGATTTTTGTAGTTTATCTTTAATATTGACTGAGAATCAAGAGGCAAGTGACTTCATAGCTGTGTACTGCAGAGTTTTCTGTTCATTTCCAGAAATGTTACATTTACCTGTGAAGCTCTTGCTAACCTTAACATTGATTTTTATAATATATTTGGAATGTTTGTTATGGAAAATATATTTGGCTCACTGCAGGCAGGAATGTGTTTGCTATATAAACTTCAGTGTTTTCCATTAAACTCAGAAGCATGACAAATGGCTCAGTCTTCTATTGACTTGAGCTGTCTCTATAAGACCAGGGAGGCTGGCTCTCCTTTATGGTCTTAGAAGAAAAATATTCAGAGCTACTTCTGGTAGATATGGTTAAAATCCAACAAGTAGTTGCATCAATCCCCAAGATTTAGGAAGAAACTCATCTAGGTAAGTCTTCTGCAGACCAAAAAAAAAAAAAAAAAAGATTTGGAAAGGAATTTTTTTTAATAATTACAAAATATAGGTTTAATTACACTTAACAAAAAGTACCAAGAAAATAAACAACTACTCAGGTAAGACTTGCTACTTTGTATAATCTATCTTTTTTCTAAATTCTATAAACATAGTTGAAGTTGTAGAACATATACAGACACTTAGAAAAGGACTGACCAGTAGTTCTTGGAAATGGTCCCGTATGATAGTATGCTTTGAAAGATGCTAAACCTTTCTCTTACAATTAGATTTTAACAAATTACTTTGCCAGTAATAAAAATGTATAATGTGTAAATAACTTAAGCTCTAAAACATAAAAGAAAAACTGATCAGCTAATTACTGAACACTACAAAAATGAGGTTTGCTTATTTTTTTAAATGCAAAAATAGGGTCAGGCAAATAGCTGAGCAGATTAAAGCACTTGCAAGCAGGTGCAGGGGCCAAGGGTTTGATCCCCAGGCCTACCATGCCAGTCCTGTCCAGAGCACACTAAGATGACAATTGAGACTGGGCGTGGGGGCGAGTACCTATAATCTTAGCTCTTGGGAGGCTGTAAACACACAGATCACTATGAATCCAATCTAGTAGTGAGACCCTGAACACCCTGTAGACCCTTCCTTAAAATACAAAAAAAAAAAAGTAACTTTTTACAAAGGAAGCTTGATGTTCAGTATGAAAAACAGGCATATTTGTAATAACTTTCACCCATGAAAGGCTGGACTACACCACAAACATCATATTGTTACCAGTTTCAAAAATAAGATTACACTGATAACTTGATGTGTAATAGTTTGAAAAAATGATTCCTATATGACGGCTAGGGCTAAAAGTATGAACTTAAATTTTATTTAAATAAGGAGTTTTAAAATGCAAAAATAGGGTAGGGCAAATAGCTCAGCAGATTAAAGCACCTGCAAGCAGGTGCAGGGGTTTCAAAAGGTTTCATCTTTTGTTCAGCCCAAAATGTTTTTTTTCACATTGTGTCTGACAAATGATCCTTGAGTTTGTAGATCATAGGGGGGAAAATGTAGGTCACTTGCAAAAGCCTAACAGTAATTTATTAAATATTTATCCATACTACGGAGTCTAATCAGATTCTTAGTTTTGCAAGGCATTAGTGAATCTCTGAGAATTAGGGGACTACAGTGTGACTTCCACCAACTAATCTAGCTGTCAAATGTTCAGTCAGGTTCTACATAGTCCTTTGTGAACTATTTTTTGTTGTCTTGTTTGCAGAAAAGGGCATTCACTTTTTGTGTACATACATGTATATTTCCTTATGTAATATAAAGCAGATGGTCATCAGCAGAACTTTAGTTCTACTTTCAAGTTAATTCAATTGCTGGACCTCATGGAAAGGAAAATTGTAATAAGCCAAGTAGCGTTGAAAACTACTGTTGTTGCTAAAATCAAGATGTATTTCCTAAGTGCCCCTTGTCTTAGCTACTCTTGTCTCATTGCTGAGACAAATACCCGACACTCAAGCTTAGGGAAGGAAAGGTTTATTTAGCTCACAGTTACTGGAAATCTCATAGTTTGAAGAACCCTGAATTACATAGCAGGACCTCGAAACACTGTCATCCGGCGCTACAGGGTCTGAAGAGAGGCTGGGGAGCCACCGTGTCCAGCATGATCTGCTCCATACCCCCAAGAGAGGCCACCAGGCCTTAGGGCCGGGGAGGGGGAGCGCATGCTGTCAGTTTAGTGGTTTGAGCCTTTCTGGCCCCGCCCTGGTCATCTGGCCACGCCCCTCAAACACCGCCCTGGTCATCTGGCCGCAACTGCCCCATGATTTACATGAGGCTTTTGAGGGGACAACTAGATACAAACTATAACACCCCTCATGCTGTGAAGAAAGAACTGTTTCCATCATTTCCTTTTTGCCAACCAGGGTTGGTGCAGATGGTACCTGATGCTGTAACCCTCGCAAAGATCCATCGCCATTCTGGACTCATCGGACCGCTGAAAGAAAATACAATCAGAAAGTGGTTCCGTCAGCACAACCACCTAAAGGCAGATTATGAAAAGGTTTGTCCTGCCAGAACTAATTCTAAATATGCTCTACTTCATTCGTTACTCTGATTCATGGGAAAGTAAATTAAGTACACCTTGAGTTCCAATTTCACTTAGTCATCAGACTAGTAATAATGACTGTTTAAATGGCATATTAAGTGTGTAGAGGTTTCTGCATTCCAATTTCCTTCTGGGGGAAGCTCTAGGATATCAATAATGGATCTCTTTGCTCGAATGCCTCCCTTCCAGTCATCTTCCCAGAAGTGATGCCCCTTGAAGCTTCTTCAAGTAACTTCCACTTATCTGTACACAACTTCCGCTTTCTATAAATGACCCTTCTCTTTATTCATTAAATGATTTTTCAATCAGGTCCTACTTTTTCATATACCCTTCTTAAGTGGTTTGCATCATGAAACATAATTGTGTGTATTATATGAATGATACAAAATGTACTGCAACATGATTCTAGCATCCGACCAGCAGTGTGCCTTTGTGTAGTGTCAGCCCTGCACCTAACAGGAGGTCCTGGAAGAAGGGCACAAGTGTGGCTTGAGTGGAGACTCATCCTACTTGCCACACTGTGAACCAGAAGAGATGGATTACCCAGACCAGGAGGCTCTTGCTGCTGATTTACAGAAAAACGCAAAATTGATGAACATTAGATCTGCTGGGAACTGTCATATGCAGCAGAATTCCTTTATTATGAGAAGCTCTTGGGTTCTGGGCAAACAAGAATGATTGGTCATGCTAACTAGCACGGACTATGAGAGAGAGACCCAAGAGTTCATTCATTCCTTTGTTTTAGAGGCCAGATAACAAAGAATTAAATGACATTATCTTGAAATCTGCACTTTTAGCCAACTGTGGGAATAGCTCAATAACGACATGAGTTTTGCACAAATTCCTCCTTGGATGTGGCTGGAGGTGTGGTCATATAAATTTTCTCTTCACAACCACCATGTGCAGAACATGTTTAATCTTTACTTTGTAAATAAAGGAATTCTAGACAGACAAGTCAAGTAACTTGCTCAAGTACTTCAGAAATCCAGAACAAAGTTAGCTAAGAATCACAGTGTAGAGTTAAGTGGCAGATATCTGCTCCAGAGAATCAGTCCACTGTTGTGTGAGACCTGAACCTCAGAGCCACCAGTCACTCATGGGTACACCACTAGGCTGATAACAACTGATTTGTGATGTGACTACAGGACCACTGTGGAACTAAGGAATAATTTGTGAAAGGAACTTCTGATTATAAGAAATATAAGATGCAATCAATTTAGTGTTAATCCTTAATACACCACACAGTCATTCACTAATATATACTATAACAAAACAATTCAGATGACCTATTTTTTTTTTTTTTTGAGATGTGGATTGACTATGCAGTTCAGGCTGGCCTCAAATTCACAGTGATCCTCCTGCCTCAACATCCCCGAGTTGCTGGGATTACAGGCATGTGCCACCATGGCTTGGATAACCTATTTATAAGGATAAACATAGATATCAAAATTTCTCAATATAGATTTTTGTCCTCAAACGTCAAATATTCACAAGAAACTTTTGTTTCTTGGGGGCTGATCTTGAGCTCAGTATGAAGCCAGACTAGCCTGGAAGATTTCACTGCCTCAATCTCCATAGTGGGCATTGTAAAAATTAATTTACAAGGCATAGTAAAAATTCATATTTTAAATATTGCCTCTGGGGAGAGGAAGTATTAGGCTACATTTTTTTCTTCTTTTACTTTGTAAATAATCATTCGTTGTTACATGTTTAAGGCATCAAAAAAAAAAAAAATCACACCAGAAATCCTTTCTGATAAGCCATGAGAATTAACACCACATGAATGAAAAATATTTTCCCCCCTTTTAGTTTCAATGAGAAACAATACCTAAGAGCTCCACAGTTCATGGTTTTCTACCTTATACCAAGATGAGCCATATATTGAGGCCCATCTTTCCACTGCTGGTAAAAATTGTTCTTCATTATGTAATTTTGCTTTTCTCTTTTACTTTCCCTCATTACCCCTGATGCTAATCCATGGTCTTCCTTTTCCTTGTTATTTTCTTGTTCCTCTTTCTTCATTGATTAGGCCTTAAGGAACTTTTTTTATTCCTGTGCTGGCTGGTGTGTGGTAACCTTCATCCTGGGAGTCTGCGATCGTCACAATGACAACATCATGCTGACCAAGTCAGGCCACATGTTTCACATCGACTTTGGAAAATTCTTAGGTCATGCACAAACATTTGGAGGGATAAAAAGGTCAGTGTACAAATGTTTATTAAAGTCATTGGCAATATCCTCAGTAGCACACAACATCTAATGGCACAAAAACCCTGCAGATGACTTATTCTGGGTCTCGCAAATCTTTTGATGCCATATCAACATGATTTTTTAATTAATTTTATTGAGAAACAAATAGCAATGAGACAGTTTCAAAACTGATTAGTAGGACCTTTTCAATAATTAATGCATTGCATATTTTTGTCTTTGTAGTGGTTATTCATAGTACAAAAACAACAAAGAGAGGACAAGAACAAAAGTTAGGAAACAAGACAGGGGCAAAGCCATTCATTTATAGCACAAGATGGTTAAGGCAATGATCCTGAGAATCTTCAGCAGGTTTTTGAAACTAGCAGTTAATTGATAGGACTCTCACCCTGACTAACTATATATGCTGATACCTGTGAACTAAGAAACTGCACTGAAGATAGCAATGTGTAATACTAGGGTCTTTCTTGGAATGCCTGTCATTCTGGTCTTCTAAATACGTACTGCTTGTCATACCAATTACTGCCATGCTCTCTCAAGTAAATGTTTGTTCAACATGATTATTGTATATATCTAATAAGATTGAAGGAAAGATTTTTTTTTCAATAGATTGCTACTGGAACAGATTTGTTTTCTTTGAATTGTGGTAGACTAGATTGACCTCTTAGCACAGAATATTAATCCTATTGCAATCTGTATTGTTGGAAACAATGGTTTTTATACACTTTAAATGAACAATGAGGCATGAGTTGATGGTATCAATATATCTGGTACATTATCTATGAAAATATCACCACCTTGGTTCTAAATATCGTAAAACTGGCACTGTTCCCACACTGAATTAGCTTGTATTCCACAAATGTTCTGTGACTCTCCACCATTCTATGCACTGTGGCTGCAACAGTAAGGCAGATGAAAGCCTCTGTCTAGTAGGAGTGACAGACATTAAATCAGTTAATAAGCACAGAAATTATTTGAGTCAATAAAAAGTTTTATTAGAAGCTAAAGCAGAAAAATGGAATAGAAAGTGGCCCAGCAGAGATGATATTTTAACTAGGCCTCTAAGAGACTAAGACAGGACCATGTGACATGTGAGCAGTGACTGTGTGGAAAACCTCCAGAAGAACATTCCAGAAAGAAAGAAGAAACTTAGAAATCCTACCTTTATGCTTGGACCAGTTGCGAGGCTGCTGCAGACTTTCTGACTTCTCACAGTAGCATATCTCAGTTATGAATGTGAAGGATTTTACGTCCTGTGTATAAACAAACAATCCCTTCTTATCGGCTTTGCTTGTGAGATTTAGGAGGATTTACACCAATAGATTAAATCAAAGGGCAATTCAGCCCTGCATTACTTAATGATTCTGGAGAAAATTTGGCTAAGCTCTACAAAAGAAATAATGAGGAATTTCTTCAGCTTCCTAAAGCCAATTGGTTTTTCTTTTGAAATATTGCTTAATTATTATCTTCATCTCTTTATTTTAGCTCACAGAAATACAAATTAAAGTGGTTAACAAATCACGCATCCACAATTTTTCACTTAGTTCTCTGGTAACAATAATTTCTATATACTAATTTGTTATTTACAGAAGATACTACTGTAGTAAACTAAAAATTTCACTCAGTAATTTTTGATGCTATTTTTTTCTAACAGAATGGAAGAAATTAAAGAAGGCCTTTATTAGTGATATTTATTGCTTTTCTAAGTCACTGCTTCAATTCATATTTTAGACTATATATCCAGTCTATATAGATTTTCACTCTGGTGCTGTTAGCTTTACAATAAATAATTCTTGCAGTTTTCTAAACAGTTTTAAGGGCAGCGCATGCACTACTTAAGCTCAGCTACCTGGAGACAATATGTGTTTTTGAGGGGATCCTACACTACCCCATGCCTATAGGGTAACTGTTAGTAGATGGCTTCTCTCTACCTTAGTTTTCTCACCTGTAAAACCAATTTTTGGTTGCAGAATAAATGAAATGATGGGGCCAGCAAGGCAGTTCAGCGGTCTTAAGTGCCTTCTTAGGTAAGCTTAGGCAACAGCAGGGATCGCTGTTTGATCCCCAGCACCACATGCCACACCAGCCCTGTCCCCAAGGCAGGCTGAGCCAGCCACTCAAAAATAATAATAAATAAAATAAAATAAATGAAATGATGCATCTAAGAGAGAGACCTGCCTGAGGTGTTGGCCTCATAGATGTTTATTGTTATAAGAAATTAAGTGATAAGAAATGAGATTACATTCCAAGGAAAAAACTACTGCTTCTTTAGTTTAATATTGTCTAGATATTATGATCCCTTCTAAAATATGTACAATGAAATTCATAGTTTTATAATTTTATTGGTACATTTTAGACATATATAATGATTACATTCATCATATGGAATTTGTATGCGTGCATAGTGCGTCTTGTGTCTTTGCTTCCTGTTCTCCTACCTTTCACTCAACCCTCCTCCTCTCCTCTCCTTACTTCATACTTTGAGCCAGTAGGTGTTTGAATTCTCTTACTTTGAGGCTTGCTGGCTGACCAACTGGACAGCACTATTTGTCAAGTTTAGATCATAGAGTGCTTTGACACATCGCTATTAGTTCCTAAGCAGAGGTTGGGGGGGGGGGAACTAGGCTGGTTTTCAAGAAGGCTTCATGTGTGTGACTCCTCATTGCCTCCAGGGCTGCATATCGGTGGCCTGAAATCAGACATAATGGAAATATCTATACTGTGAAAAGTGACAAATCAGAGATGTTTGAATTTTGTTTTTCCTAAGAAAAAGTAAGGAACAAGTCATTAAAAGTCTACTGCCATAAACATATATTCAGCTTAAAATAGGTTTAAAATAAACACTCCAAAATCCAACAAAAAATTAGTCTCTATTATTTTCCTATTAAGATATTTACATGGGATGATCAAGATATTTTATCAGACTTCTTACAATGTGTTAAATCTTTCTAATTTTTACCCTACTAGATCATCCTTATAAAATTAGTCTTAGCATTTTCACTTCAATATTAAAAAAAAAAATTCCCTAAATCTAAAATCATTTTAACAATATTTCTACTGGTTATGTAACTGCTGTTGATCTAAAATTTTTAAGGTTTTATTTCAAATTTGGAAACCATAACACTTATGTTCCAAATATTTTCACTTTTAAAACCATCTTTAAAAATAAATTTCCTTGATGCAGTTAAATATTAATATTATTCTTCTCCAATCATTCCAGTTCAGTGTATACTTCCTAGCCAAAATGCTACACAGCAATTAATGATATACCGGAAGCTTTGATGATTTAGTGTTCTTTGGACTTACATGCATCTCATTGATCTGTTATGTATATAATGGTTACTTGGTTACTAAGAAACATGATAGTTCCTTTTGCTTAAAGCAGCCTTGATGTCATCTGATTTTTCTAGAAGGCCCTTCATCATACCTTCCCAACTGTGAATGCCTTTAAAGACACCATTGTATCCTGACATCTAGCATAAAGTAGAGGTTCAACTTTGGGTGAAAGGCAACTCTAAAAATGCCATGAACTTTACTTCCCTTGACCTTTCTCTTGATCTCAGAAAGTATCATCTTAATTATTTTAATGATAAAATAATTAAGAACATGACATGTTCTCTTACTCTACCTAGATATTTACCAAAGGTCTTTGTACCTAATGTTCAGTCTATATTTCAAATGAGACTCAGAATTGCATACTACCTGTTTAACAAAGCCTTCTGCCAGTCACCAACCCACTCCAAGCAAGCTACACCTTGCATGTGAACGAAGCCTCAGATTTCACGTAGGCTTCTCACAGAGCCCAGTGCAAGAAACCAACTTCATTTTGTCCTTCCATCTTCTCCATATCATTTCTCTCTCTTTACCTTAGTATGGCACTGGTTATCACCTGGTTTCTTTTTAATAACTTCCTGAATACTACCTCATAAGAAAATGCAGTTTATCTATTAACAAACATGTACAATGAAGAAAAATGAAGACAATAGATAAAGAGAGAAGGAAGAGAGAGGGAAAAAAGAATAAAGAAGAAAGAACCTCATTAGTACAGGAAATCTGCCAGTTTTCACTGAATAAGATTATGTCCCAGTGAGCAAAGCAAGCCTAAGATGGAAAGTTGTGAATCTGACACTTCAGATAGTCTAAGGTACAATGGGCTTGCCAATACGTGCAGTGTTTAGACCTTTCTCTAAATGTAATCTTTAGGGGGAAAAAAAAAAACCCTAAAGAATGCCTATTACAAGTCTAACAAAAGAATTTCATCTTTGTCCAGGTGAAGACCCAAAACCCTATTATTTGGAAAACAACTTAGCATTAGTCTGATACATAAATTTGAATCATGCACAATATCACTTTATGAGTTGCTTAAACATTTTTCTAAGTAACTTTGACTCTTCTGGTTGTTTATCTTCTATCTGATTTTAGAACTTACCCTCTACTTAAAATGTGATAGCACAAATATAATTTTCACCCAAGCATTGAATTATTTTTAAACTTTCCCTCATAACCAAGGTTAACCTCATTCCCAAGTATATACTGAAATTGCTTGCAAACACAGTTGTGTTCCCTCGACTCAAGTTCAGGGACAAACACATGGTAATTCAGAAGATGTAACCACTCACTTCTTTCCCTCATGAGATGCTGATCTCCAGTAATTCAGAACCCAATATACTTGGAGGACTAAGACTCTCATTTTGAGCAGGTGGATATTTTAACTAACCTTTCAAAGAGGAGATGAAAACATACTTGAGCCTGAGAAAAATGCTAGAGTCAGTATCTAAAGTTATTAAGCAGTTAAAGACCAAGGGCTTCCTGGAGTCTAACTTAGGACACATAGTGAATTTACAAAAGAGGCCAGACTTGCTAGGGGGGATGTTTTACATCTAAGAAATTATGACTAAGGCTTTCTTTAGTTAATAATTTTTGAGAGCTTGAAGATCTCAAAGGCCATTAAATGTTCTTTCTGTACTAGCGCATGCACCCTTATGTTCTCATTAT